TCAAGCACTTTATGATAATTATATCCAAATCCTCGTGTGGACTCCTCGTGTGGATTGCTGCTGCTGTGGCTCTTCGTCATCTTGATTTATTATTTTATTCCTATATTTTTATTTCTCTTTTTGGTTTGTTTTAATTTATTTTACTTTATTTTTATTTTATTTTTATTTTATTACTTGGTGTATTTTAGGGTTAACTAGTTGTCTAAATTAGTGTGGGCCGCTGGGTGTCCATGACTCAGCGTTTACTGTCCTTTCCAGAGAATTAGCCAGCTAATCAGCCTAGACCTCCCTCTATGGTTCAACCCAAACTGTGCAAGTAACATCATTCAACGCAGTCTGGAATCTGTGCTGATAACTAGTGTTAATTAATTGTTGTCTTCAACATCCGGGCTACCATCATACCGTGAACTGGGTCATCTCCTCCTAAGGTCAGCCAAGAAGAACTGGGGACCCAGCCAATGGGTGCCGGCTTGCTTTCCACGGACCCAAAGTGCTGGGCTCCTATTGTTTGAACTGACTGTCCTGATTGAAGGTCAATTGTGGACTTAGTCCAGAAGGCACTAACATTGCACTTTAGAACTACAATAGCACTAAACCACTTTACATTGAGCACTTTAGATTTCTAATCTGCCAGAACTCTTGCCAGTAGAAAACCGGTCCCATATCCATATCCATGATCAAGTGCTGAGTGATTAATTGTAATTAATTTTGATTAACTGTGTTGCACTTTAAACAACGGCTCAGAGTCTTGCACAGTCACTTTGGATCTAGCCACAGGCACCTTGGAAGTAATCGCATATATTGTTGTTTATCAATTACCCTACCCCTATGTTACCATTAACACCTATCCTGCTGCTATTGATACTAATGCACTTTACCATCTTTAATACACTGGAAGGAACAGGTAATTTCAAGGGGTGGGAAGATCAAGACCCAATTACATGTGACTACACTTATCATCAAGCACTAATATATGGAACAACAAGAGATGGAAATGGAGGACATGCCCCCTGGGGTGGGGGAGGATCCATGGGTGGGGGCGCCGCCATAGAGGTGGTGACAGGTAGAGGGAGATACAGGAAAGGGAGAGCAAATTATTCATTCCGGCCCAAAATTCATAATAATAGATTGGCTACCCCCAAAGATGCTAACAATTCAAGGAAAAATCAAATTCGGCCAAAAATTTATAACAGAACATTGGCAATTCCAAAAATTGAATCTACAATTCGGCCCGAAATTAGCAAAAACAGATTGGCAGCTTCAAAACATCCTCCTGACAAGATACAACTGAGATGCCAGGAAGGTGGTCCCTCCAGGTTAAAGGTGGTGCTGTTCAATGCCAGGTCGGTAAATGGAAAAACTGCTATTATTAAAGATCTAATTCAAGAAGAACATGCTGACCTGGCTTGTATAACAGAGACCTGGTTGGACGAAGGGGGAGGGGTTAACCTCTCCCAACTCTGTCCACCAGGCTACTCTGTTCAGCACCAACCAAGGCTTGGAGGGCGGGGAGGAGGAGTCGCAGTGGTCTATAAGGAGTTTATCCCTCTGATCAGGCGTCCCATCCCACAAACATCTTCGTTTGAATGTGCCGGCTTTAGGATAGGTGACCGGGACAGGATAGGGATTCTGTTAGTGTACCGACCACCCCGCTGCACTACAATCTCCCTACCTGAGCTAGCGGGAGTGGTCTCGGACATGGCTTTGAGCTCCCAACGGCTTTTGGTCTTGGGAGATTTCAATGTCCATGCCGAGGCCTCTCTCTCGGGTGCGGCTCAGGACTTCAAGGCCGCCATGGCAACCATGGGCCTGTCCCAATTACTATCTGGTCCCACCCACAGTGCCGGGCACACATTGGATTTGGTCTTTTCTCAGGGATGGGATGAGGGTGACGGGGTGGAGGAGCTGACCATCGCTCATTTGCCATGGACCGATCACCATCTGATCAGGTTTAGACTAACTGTGCCTCATAACCTCCGCAGGGGTGGTGGACCCATTAGTCTCGCTGGAACAGTGAGATGACCAGGGCAATTGACACAATCGCTCCGGAACGTCCCCTCTCGAGTAACCGAGCTAAACCAGCCTCTTGGTTTACTGAGGAGCTGGCAGCGATGAAGCGAAAGAAGAGGAGGCTAGAGTGCGTGTGGCGCCAGAACCCCACCAATCCAGCCCAAACACACCTGAATGCCTTTTTAAGGTCCTACGGTGTGGCAATAGCGGCAGCTCAAAAAACATCTATTACAGCCAATATTGCATCCGCGAAGAATCGTCCGGCTGAGCTTTTCCGAGTTGTCAGGGGCCTGTTAAATCCGCCAAAATGCGAGGCCTCGGATAACTCGGTGGCACGCTGTGAAGCATTTGCTCGATTCTTCACGGATAAAATGGAGCGGATTCGGTCAGGCTTTGACGTCATGTTAACGGCAGTCTCTGGGGATGTAACGAGAACATCTGCTTGTCCAGTTTTGTTGGATTCGTTTCAATTGGTTCAGCTTGAGGATGTGGACAGGATCCTTGGAGAGGTGCGACCCACCACATGCATCCTAGACCCCTGCCCATCCTGGCTGATCAAGGAAGCCAGAGGGGGTTTGGCAGAGTGGGTGAAGGTGATGGTTAATGCCTCCTTACAGGAAGGAAAATTTCCAGCGAGCTTAAAACAAGCTGTGATAAAACCGCTGTTGAAGAAACCATCACTGGATCCCACTCAATTCGACAACTATCGGCCTGTTTCCAATCTCCCCTATTTGGGCAAAGTCATGGAACGTGTGGTGGCAACACAACTCCAGGGGTTTCTGGTAGACACTGATTATCTAGACCCGGCACAGTCTGGCTTTAGGCCGGGACATGGAACTGAGACAGCCTTGGTCGCCTTGGTAGATGATCTTCGCAGGGAGCTGGACAGGGGGAGTGTGTCCCTGTTAGTTCTGCTGGACCTCTCAGCGGCCTTCGATACCGTCGATCACGGTATCCTTCTGGGGCGCCTCATGGAGATGGGGCTCGGAGGCACTGCTCTGCGGTGGCTCCGATCCTTCCTTGAGGGACGGACTCAGAAGGTGTTATTGGGTGACACCTGTTCGGCTCCGCAACCGTTGTTGTGTGGAGTCCCACAGGGTTCAATTTTGTCCCCGATGTTATTTAACATCTACATGAAGCCGCTGGGGGAGATCATTCGGAGTTTCGGAATGAGATGTTATCTCTATGCAGATGATGTCCAAATCTGTCACTCCTTCTCACCTGTCACCAAGGAGGCTGTCCAGACCTTGAACCGGTGCTTGGCCGCTGTATCGGACTGGATGAGAGCTAACAAATTGAAATTGAATCCAGACAAGACAGAGGTCCTACTGGTCAGTCGTAAGGCCGAACAGGGTATAGGGTTACAGCCTGTGTTAGACGGGGTTACACTCCCCCTGAAGACGCAGGTTCGCAGCTTGGGAGTGATCCTGGACTCATCGCTGAGCCTGGAACCCAGGTCTCGGCGGTGGCCGGGAGAGCTTTTGCACAATTAAAACTTGTGCGCCAGCTGCGCCCGTACCTTGGGAAGTCGGACTTGGCCACTGTGGTCCACGCTCTTGTTACATCCCGACTGGATTACTGCAACGCACTCTACGTGGGGCTGCCTTTGAAGACTGCTCGGAAACTCCAACTGGTCCAGCGGGAGGCAGCCAGATTGCTCACCGGAGCGACATACAGGGAGCACACCACCCCCCTGTTGTGTCAGCTCCACTGGCTGCCGATCCAATTCCGAGCACAATTCAAAGTGCTGGTTTTGACCTATAAAACCCTATACGGTTCCGGCCCAGTGTATCTGTCCGAACGGATCTCCCTCTACGTCCCACCTCGGAACCTAAGATCTTCTGGGGAGGCCCTGCTCTCGACCCCGCCTTTATCACAAGTGAGGTTGGCCGGGACGAGGAGCAGGGCCTTCTCGGTGGTGGCCCCCCACCTGTGGAACTCCCTCCCCGGGGAAATTAGATCGGCAACGTCCCTTCTTTCATTTAGGAAAAAATTGAAAACCTGGATATGGGACCGGGCATTTGGACACCCGGGCAGCTAAAGAAAAACCTAATGACGAGCTGGAACTTGTCGAGATGGAATGGACTTATGAAACTTCGAACGCTGAACTCAGGATTAACCTACTGCTGTGTTATTGTATTAATGTGTATTGATGATTTTAATTTTTAATTTGTAATTGTTTAATTTGTTTATATATGTATGTATATGTGATAAAGGCATCGAATTGTGCCTTCCTCTGTAAGCCGCCCTGAGTCCCCCCCCGGGGGTGAGAAGGGCGGGGTAAAAGTGACGGAAATAAATAATAATAAATCCTTAATGATAAATCATTCTTATCCTCATCACTGCTGTATGATATTTGCACTTTACTCATTAGCTCTGTCCTCTAATGTTGTGGCACCAGTCCGACCACCCACGTCGAGACATTGAATTTTGCTATTGGTTGTTGGTTTTGATGTTTCTTTTATATACTGTTTAATGTTGTTGTTTTATTTCGTTATATTGTTTTTTGTTATTTTGTTGATATGCATTTTAATGTGTTATGTTTAACTGTTCTGTTGGGCCTGGCCCCATTTAAGCCACCCCAAGTCTCTTCGGTGAGATGGAGGTGGGGTATAAAAATAAAGTTGTTGTTGTTGTTGTGTTTATTATTATTATTATTATTATTATTATTATTATTATTATCTTTTTTCCCCGACTTTTTATTTTTACAATACAGAAAATACATACTTTGCACACACAAAACATTTACAATTCCCACCACCAACATAAGGATTATTATCTTTCACATATTCATTTCTTTTTGAGATAATCATTATTTCTTTATCTTTATACATTTCCATCCTGTATGCTATATAGCATTTGTATCTTATTTCTTATGACCTGATCTCCAGAATGTTTCATAATATAGTTCATTACCCTTGTCCATCTATCTTCCATTTCTCTCATTCGATTTTCATTGATTTTTAAATCATTTAATTTCACATTCATAATTTCGAATTCCATTTGCTCCACCATATAATGGTACCATTTATTTATTGTCCATTTTGATTTATCTTTCCACCCTAATACTATTACTGCTTGTGCACATTCAATTATTGCTTCTTTTATTTCCCTTTTATTTCCCATTTCCTCTCTTTTCCCTAATACCGCTAATTCCTTTGTTATGACCCACTCATGTCCTAATATTTGATTTGACACATTTTGTATAGTTTGCCAAAAATCTTGTACATATTCGCATTCCCACATCATGTGCATAAAGTGCCCTTTCTGGTGGCATCCATGCCAGCGCTGACTACTCCCCTCTTTATAGTAGTATGCTAATTGGCAGGGTGTGCGATACCATTTGTGCAATATTTTCCTCCTCGTTTCTCGTACTTTAGTATTCCTTTCCATCTCCTATTATCTCTACCACATTTCTCATTTCTTGTTCCGAGATTTGTAACTCCGTTTCCCACATAGTTTTCAAGTCCTGTATTGTACATCCATCGGCCTCTATTAGCATTGTATATATTTTGCTGGCCTGTGCCTTCTTTCCTTCCCCTTTTTCTCTTATTATCTTTTCAAAGGCGGTATCTTCTCTCTTAACCATATTGATATTTTCTTTTGTTTTGCAATATGCACAGATTGCTCTTATCTGTAACCAGTTTTCTTGCCCAAGCCATTGTTTAATTGTATTCTCCCTTACCTTTCCCTCTCTGTCATATAATTGTTCTACTCTCTCTATTCCTTTTTCCTTCAATATCTGGATATTTCTATTCATATTTGATTCCTTATCCTTGTTAATTATCCATACTGTTGACATTTTGGATTTTAAACTACTTATTCTCCCTTGCCATTTCTTCCACACTTGCATTGTTCCTTTCATTGGTCCTGTTAATTTATCTATATTTCTCTTATCCCATTTTCTAAAAATTATTTCTTCACAATTAACTCCATTCATTTCCTTTTCAAATCTCACCCATTTTTTATTTGTCACTTGTAATTCTATTGCTCTTTCAATTTGGAAGGCATCGCTATAATAATAATTATTATTATCAAATTCAAGATCTTTCTCTGGATATATCTATTTCTAAAGTGATCATGGGGATAAAATGGCAAATGCATAGAAGGCACTACCTACTTTCCTAACTCTGATGTAGTAAGCTGGATACAAACTTTCATTAGAGAAAAGATATAAACTCCAATTGAACATGGAAGAGATAAAAATGAAACGTAGGAAGACATAAATACATGATAATGATTTACTTTGAAAAGTCAAAGCTGTCAAATTTATATTTGATGCTTTGAGATATGTCTTTGGCTTAACAACAACCTTTACCTTGTTTTTTCGTCTTATTTTGTCAAAATAATGTTCCAAGTTCCAGAGATGAATTTTGCTGTCTTGTTACAAAAATTTATTGAAGGAAAACAAATTATGAATAGAATCTTCTTCCTGGAAACCTAATTATACTAAGAGGGAACTCAAATATCAGAAAAGTAATGGAGTGAACATCAAGGGAGAAGTTGTATGAGTTGTTCTGTACATATAAATGCGCTGATATAACACCATTGTGAAAATGTAAACCCAACATTCCATTAAGCATTTTAGGACTGATCCATAACTCATATTTTACTTTGCACCTATGCTGAAATAAATATGCATTGTTCAAATGCAGAGAGGGAATAGTTCACATAAAGCATGTTTAGTTCATATGAAGCATGTTGAAGGGGCAGTTTCAGATAGGTGCACAATTATGCCCCTTATTGGCTGATTTAATAAAACACGCCATTATAGGAACATGTTTGATACCACTCATGCTAATTCAGTTCAATTGTGTTTGGTGCAGCATTTCTTTTCATATACTACACTGCATTACACACTCCAGTGGAGGTCTCGCTGGTGTCCTCCCCATAGTTTGATGTATTCCCACTCAGTGAGACCCCCTTCCCCAGTGCCAATGTTACCTATTACACCACCTCCTTTTTTATACTTTCAAAATCTGCACATCAGTAGGTTGGAAGGTGCTACACATTTATTTGCAAACCAAGGTCCAAATAAGACTGTGAGAATTATCATGAAGAGAAAAAGTTGTGGGGGGAGAAAAAAAACTGAGTCTAAATTATACATTAGTTTTGGAGGGATATCCTGGAGACCTGTTTTGCGTATTTGTAAAGATAGGTAAATTTATAACAGTCTCACAACAGCACTGTATAATTTTACATTACATTTCCTCTACATTTTTGTGAATTGCCTCATGAAAGGTAGAAGCCCATTCCCATACAGATTTTCCCTTTAGATTATTTCACCACACTGAAACAGATGGCAGAAGGATCAGTTAATATGAGTTAGTACAACATACAATGTAGGCCTCTGGAGAGTGACATAAAGCTTTAGACCACTTCTTCCAGATGAGTCTGGCCCCTAACAACTTAACTATAAATCCACAACCTTGTCAAGAAAAGCTACAGCTGGAGTTACTGATACGATTGGGAGGTCAACCACCTCCGCCATTTGTTTTAGATTATATAGCAGGATCATTTTCCTACCTTCCCAAACAAGTAGCGGTATATTAACCTGAAAATCTTGCTGTAAAATGGGGAGTTGTAAGTTCAAGGTAATAGTTAACAGAAAAAGGAGAGACAGACCAGATGTGAAATTTGCTTTAACTTGCCCCAGCCCTGTAGCCCAACCCTCTAGATTTCCTAATTTATCACTGTCCTTTGGGCCAGACCATACTGAAACATCACATAGCCGAGTTGCTGTATCAGATAGAGTATTGTAAAGTTCTGGCCAGGTGGAGCTGTAATACATGTCTCTTGTCTCCTCCTTCAGGACTCACCCTTCTCCGTTTCAGTCTTGGGTCTCTTTTGATAGTTAATTTTAATTCAGTTTTATAGATCTGAAGAACACAGAACTACAAGTTCTTCACTTCTTCCCACAAGAAGCCTAGGTCATGAATCCATCCATTAAATATATGCACCTGAACTCCTTTTGAATATCTGGATGACAGTTGGATATCTACAACAATTGTCTCTCAGGCTATTTGATGTGTGGACTAGTAATTTTTTATCCTCCAATGTATCAAGGAGCACCGCAATATTTGTACACAGTGGCTATAATTATTTCTTTCATTCCTGGAAACTCATCAAGGAATGGAAGCCATTGGCACTATTCCAGGAGCCACAACTTTGAGTAGCACTAGTCAAGAGCATCCCTGAATGCATTCTTTAAATTATCTAAGAATTAGGTATTGGCAAACCTCCAGAATTTTGTATAAGAAAAATCACAGCCACATGCCATTGCTTCCACTCACTTCTATGATGTTTTTCTTTTTCTTTTAGTCTGATACATTTTAATTTTATTTTAAGACACACAAAAACAACTCCACATCCACATTTTAATCTTGAGATTATATCTTACAATTAATGAATGAATATTCACAGAAGAGGAAAAACATCCTTTTCATGAACTCGCCAAAGTCTAAGACGTTTGGCAATTTCCCAACAGCATTCTTTTAGTTACTATAGTTACCACATTACTATTTTATCTTGCGTCTGTATACTAATCTTCCAGTTTCCTTTTTACTGGAACATTTAAAAACAACAATTATATCCTCCCAAAGGTGCTATTCAATCTTTAGGCACTACTGTATTTGGAATACTTTCTAGGAAGAGAATATTTAGAATGTGTGTGGCTTGTTCTGTTAAGAGTGCTTCAAACAGATTTAGTAATTTAATAAGTAAAACATTTTCTTAACTTAGTTCGGTGAAGATGGTGAAGATGAACTTAGTTCAGGAAGATGGTAGCATTTATTTAAGAATTGTGGAAAAATATTTGTGATAGATGAAAGTTGCAATCAGCTACATAATTCTAGCTTGCCTTGAGTTTGCAAGTGGTTTACACTGTTACATTAATTTTATGACTTTTTTTCCCTCTTGCATTTGTACTCATTAAGTACCACTGAATTCAATAAGACCTGTTCCCAAATAAATGATTTCCATAAGTTCTAATTTTTTGAATAATTTACCATCACGGTTCCAGGGTTTTTTCCTGTGATTGACAGACATGTTGCACTTACAAACACTCTATATGTGTTTGTTATTTCATATTGCAATTAAGAATAGGTTGTAGAAAAACAATTCTCAGTAATTCAAATAAATTTCACCATTAACTAAAACCACAGGTTTTCATTTTTATACTTTTTAAAACATCCGTTGAAATGTTGTCTTCTCTTGAAACACAAAATACTCTTCCATTATGCAAGGCATCACCATACTCTCCCTAATGAGAATAACAGTTCTTGTGGCCAAGTCCTGAAGCATGAGAGTGAGGAAAACAGAACCACTTTCAACTAAGCCTTCAAATCTTTAGAAAATTGGATAATGGGTTCTTGGCAGCTCCAGATTTTAATTAAAAATTCAACCCAGGAAAAAAACATAGTGCACTCCAAATCACAATATTTGCTACCATTATGCTATTAATTACAGCAAATGATGTTTACATTATTATAATGTATGTGTATTATAATTATTACTATTTCTAAAAATGTACATTACATTCTCACTTAACTGCGCATCTCACTCTTCCATAAAAGGTGCCTTCTTTTTAGTTTTATGAAGACTTCTATTATTCAAACAAATTTTCACTGCTTGGATGCATCCAGATTACTATGCTTTACTTTTTGAAAGAGCTGTATATTATTCTGCAGGCAAAGAGATACATGCTATTTTTAATACACTCAAATCTCCCAGGTCAGTTGAACTGCATCCAAGGCTACTTGAGGAACTTGCAGATGCAGTCTTAGAATTTCGGTCCATAATTTTGGAGAATCCTTGGAGAACAAATGAAGTCCTCGCAGACAGAAGGTAGGAAAGTGTTGTTTTTTTAGAAAAAAAGGTGCAGACAATTCTTGGCCTTCTATATTATAACAATACCTAAAGATTCTAGAAAAGACCATGAAACAGTTGGTCTATTTTTAAAAGTCAGCATAGGGTTCTAAAAGACTATTTTTGTGTGTCTTTCTTCTGTCTCTCTTTTAGAGTTGCAAACTTGATAGGTGAGAAGAATGCTCAGAATGTAGTGGATTTTTATTTAATAAGGCTTTTGACGAGTCTCCCTATGATATTCTTGAAGACAGGCTGCTAAAATACTGTTAGATTGATTTGTAGCTAGTTTAGAAACTAAATCCAAAGCATGCTCATCATTTTTCTGAAAACAAATAACAAAGGAGGTGCTGATGCAGGATCCTGTATTGGGTCCAGTTTTATAAATGACAGAGAAGAGGGCTTATTTATCAAACATGCATGTAACATAAAACTAGGAGGGGTAGTTAGCATTTACAAGATAGAATTTGAATTCACTATGACTTTACAAGATTGAAGAATAAGGCTGAAATTAAGACAAATGCTGATAGAGAGAATCAGTTTACAAGAAAAGATATTATAGATAAGCACTAGGAAGGATATTATAGATAAGCACTAGTCTCTGTGGGAAGATGGTGGAGTCTCATATATTGGAAATTTTCAAACAGAGGTTGGCAGGAGGATTAAAAGTCCCTTGAAGTACTTCCCAGTTGTATGCATCTATGATTCTGTGACACTTCTGAAATTATAGCATCAGTACATGTAGTATAGAGGCTGTGGGACTGAATTAATAAATGTAGTGGGACATATGTGTAATTCCCTA